GCGAAGTTCACAGCTGCGGAAAAGGTCATATTCTTCTCAGAAAGCAGTTCCACCTCAAAAAGGATTGTTTTACGTGTCTGCAGCCAGTGCACGATCCCAGAAAGATAAAAGTTGTGAATATATTTTCTATTTTTGGAGCGTTTTATCAAATCAAGTCGGCTCAAGTATCTGAGATCATCTGACTGTTTTCTCAGACCGGCGGTCATCAGCCACTGCTCGTTAGTTACCCGATGGTACTATCGCATTTTGAGGATGCTGTGCATCTCTGTCTAGGTTTTAAAACTTTGAAGTGCAGAGTATATGTTGAACCTATCTTCCCATCTGACCGATCAGCCACGAGTTCACACGTTAACCACTAGAACGCCCTCGATTATGTACTACTCCTAGTATTCGGAACACTACTATGATGATGGCTTTGACTTGTAATGAGGATTTACAGAAAAACTTCCTAAGACACAATCACTTACTTTACAAAGCTACAGGCGTAGCGGACCAATGGTCTGGCATTGATCAGACTGTTTTATGATACGGGAAACCTAGTACTGTAGCATATTGGAACCTGGACCAGCGAAATTATCGACTTGGTTCCGATTTTGCCGCTAAACGGAACCAGTGGAAGGGCCCATTGAAGCAACCGCCCCCGATATTGCAAAAAAAATAAATGATTGAACTCTTGACTATGTTCATGTTCCAGCACTTTAGTGAAACCTTCATAATTAGCTGAGGAAAAAGTCAGGTAATACGTGTATCTATCATCAGACTGCAAATGAGAGAATTCGATGAAGAACTTTGGGAAAACTTCATCAGCAGATTCTGCTGGAACAAACTCAGACAAGTACTGTAGTGAGCGCTAAGAACATCTAAACAAGACGTGAATAACATGTTTTATGAAGAAAAAAACTTTTCTAATCCTTCAAGATTCATGTGGCTTCAAACGATGACAGAGTTCGACAGAAAAGTCTAAGGATGACTTTCATCTAACGGTTGACCAATAGACAGTAGTCACTATAAGCGTGTCCAGTTCCAAATCCTTAAGTTATTGTTTTCATTTGGACGTAGACCGGAGATGCTCAGTCGGTAGAGCTGTGGACTCAGAGTCGAGAGGTACAGGGCTCGATCATCGGTTAGGTCACTCTCTTTTCTTCACTCAAAGGTTCATAAATGAGAAACACTTTGTGAGAAGGAAACAGGACACTATGCTTGCTACATAGCTGCTGGAGATTCTGCCTCTAAAACAACACGTTCCTGACTGATGGCATGGAAATGAAGTTTTTGTCCCACCATTAACATCCTGAAAAGAAGAATATAAAAAGTGACCATCGTTGAAGTGTAAAAAAGATAAACATTCCAATGATTACAGAAATTCCTTTCTTTAGGGCATGAAATGTGGAAAATGAAGTTCAGATAAAAAGGACTGATGAAGCCTTGGTCTTTCAATGATCCAAAAACGTGGACGATGACTGATAGTCTCATCCGTCATAACATACTATAAGATGAAGTTTGTGCATATGCTTTTCCGACGGTTCTAACTTCTTCATCTGATACAGCAGATCTAGGCAATTTAACAATGGTGATATGAATTACTGATTTCTACCGATGATGAAGGTCTCACAAACGCGTATCTACGGGACCATATTTTCAATCGGCTACTACTTCGAGAAGCTGGTTACCAGGCTCTATCATTTTACCAATAATAAGAAATCTATGACGCAGGAGTTTAATAGCTGATTTTCTTTCTGACGTGGAGCAGCGGCTCTACGCCTCATTTATCCTGATTCTGCTTGGCATATGGCTTTCGAAGCACATGGAACTAGAGGAGAGTTGGTATACACAAAAGGTAGTTAATAAGTATCCTTAACCATTACACTGCCTCATATGTAACGGGGGATCGATAACGATAGAATACGCCTCATGATTGGGATTAAATTGACGAAAATTTTTCCTTATGTTCAAATCCACATATCTTTCTCTCTGCGTTCGTGGTGTTAACCACTGTCGCGCTTGCGCGGACTTTCCTGCATGCACTCTTACGATCGGCTGTTTTAAGTGTAAACGCAGCGCACTCGTTGTGCTGTTGTACGGTAGAGGTTCAGATTCACTGCCGAGAGATGAGGGCTTGAGAATTGGTCAGATGATTTGCCTTCCATTCGTCCCCATAAATAGCGAAACAAGCCAAAGCCGTTTAACTGATGCATAACTCCTCCAAGACCGGATTTCACGGCTTCTTTCATCACCCCCTGTTCAAAGCTACCTTGGAGGATGGGCAAGAGATTGAACATTTATACAGGCAGACCATAGCTACGATATATTTTGGCACAAGTACTGCGTCGATGCCACTTCCATCATT